CCTCTGCGCCCAGCCACTCCGCGACAGCAGGGTGTGCACAGGCCCCCGGGAGCACCCCCGGGAGCACCCCCGGGCCCTTGCACGCGCTGCCCCCTCGCCCCGCCGGGCACTCGGCCCCCTGGCCCCGTCACCCTCGGACAGAGGTGGGCTTCACCTTCAGATCTCGCCGATCGCTCGGGTTCACCGGGTCCTGTCCCTGCTCGGGACACTCAGCAGGCGATCAGCAAATGTCTTTGGGGCGGGGCACACGTCGGAGGGCGAGCGCAGCGCGCGTAACCCCGCCCCGCCTCTCTACCACCGTCTTGACGTCACCGCGCCGCCCCGCCCTCCCCCGTCGCCCGGGAAACGCAGACGGCGTTGGAGCGCCCTGACTGCCGAGGCAGCCCGGGCTGTAAGGTCCGCGGGGGTCCCAGGGGCCCTTCCCTGCACGCTCCTCGGCGCTCTTCCCAGGGCCCCCAGCCTCTGCGTAAGACTCCCTGGGATATTTGTTTAATATGCGATTCCTGGGGCCCACTCCAGAGCTACGGGGTCAGAACCCATAGTCTGGGGCCTGGGCATTTTCTAATTAATAATAAGCATGGGCAAATGCTCAGTCAACTCAGAGAACCATGGAGCTACCCAGTTCATGAGAGTGTCCCGGGGGGAGGGGAGAAGGGGGGGTGCCCTGGCTGCCCAGAGCAGTAACAAACTCCATAATCCATCCTTTACTGGCGTTTTTCTTTCTGTCTCATACTTCCCACGTGCTCACTCCTGCCCACTGGGTCAGCTCCACATGGAAACACCTGCACGCGCAGCCTTGTCTCAGGCTCTGTTGGGGGGAATCCAAACTAAGACATGTGAATCCACCGAGAGACCATCAGCTGGACTTGGCACTTGGCCATATAAAGAAAGTCAAAAGTTTTTCATTTCAAGGGAACTGGAAGATGGGCAGTGCAGTCGTGGGGAAGCAAAAACGTTCCATTTTAGAGACATGTCAGGTTTAAGATGTGGGCAGGACATCTGGGCGGAGATGCTCAGCTGTTCTCTCTCTGCGCCTACTTTGATACACCGTCTCTTTCATGCCATGACATTGTTTTCTTCACAGTTGTGACTCTTATTCCAAACAGACTTATAATTAGGGGTACCTCCCTGATAAAAAGTGGGACTTCCTGTTGCAAAAGCTTAAGGAAGAGACTGATGGGACAAACCAGCGCCCCACGAGTGCCATACATACTAAGCTGTCAGAATTGATGCCCCATCATCTATCTAGGCACTGTCTCCTGCCAGGGGACTGTGGCATTACTGCTGGGGGTCCCCGAGTCCATGGGAGCACCCAGATTGCAGATCTAATAATAGTGGTCTGATAATAATACATGGTACTGTACTTCAGATGTTTGGAGATACTTTTGAGAGTAATAAAATACCCTTTTGTTACAGAATTCACACCTCCTTTAGGTCACAGTTGCTTCCAAAATTTCAGCGACTAGAAAGTAAGCCAGGTTCACGTGCTTTACTGACGTTAGAAAAACATCTTTCCACTTGGAAATCAGTTGAGTCCATTGTGGGAGTGAGAGAGAGAGCTAAGACATTTCTGAGTGGATGGTGGAGGGTCGGCTAAAGGTGAGGATGGAGGAACCGCTGGTGAATTAGTACAGGTGAGAGGCGAGGAGGCCTGAGACCAGCCTGCAGCCTCGGAGCCGGAGGAGGAGAGGGATTTGAATGACTTCTTATTGTTGGTTCTTTCTAAGATAGGGCGTCATCACAAAATGTAGGTGGAGGCCACATACAAAGCAGGTGTTCTCACCTTGTGGATGTCTTCAGGCTCTCCTCCCTTCCCTGCCGCCCCATCTTCTCCCTCCTCTCCTCACATTTGTCTACCCCCACCAGCTTCTCAGGGCGGCTCCTAGCAAGTTTTCTTCACTCCCTTCACTCTACTTCACTCCCTCCTTTTAGTTTCCTGAACTGGTGATTGGGTTTAAGACTTGTCCTCAGCTCGGACTTTGGCTTTGCTTCAGGACTCACCTCTGGTCTGCTTGTCAATCGTCCAGTACCCAGCACTCAGCCCGCTCCCTGGCCTCAGGACACCGCCTGGCCTGCATCTGATGGGGATTGTGCCCTGGACATCACTAGGTAGAATCGGGTGGGCGTTGAACATTTATTGCCCGGTGGTGAGAGAGGGAGAGAGGAAGGGGCCATGCACTACTCTGGGTTGTTTTGCTGGGACCTGGGAGAAGGAGATGCCACTGAGAGGGGCATGGGGGGCAACTGTGGGGAAAGGAAAGGGAGTTTGGTTTTGTACACGTTTTGTTAGCTAGTTCTTCATAAAACTGCCACGAGCCGCAGTGGAGCTGGTGCGAACAGCAGGCAGGGTGAGAGCTTGTATAGCTCAGCTGACAGTGACCCGGCGGTCCTCTAGTGGAGCTCAGCCATCAGACCCCACCCACCCACTCTTGTTCATTTTGACATCTGCTCCACTCCGTTCTGTGTGGCGCACCCACTCACTGCCTGCTCATTTTTAGTCGTTGGCTCTATTGGCCTTCATTGGTAACTGCAATTATTTGAACACATCATTAACACCAAAGTTTCCCCCCAACCTCTGGCCATCTGTCTCTTCTTATCCCCTTCCTCCTTCCCACCACCGCCACCACCACCTCCCTCGCTGATTCAGCATTCACAGAAGAGTGGTTGGAAAGGAGTTACAACGTCACTGGGCTGGGATGGGCCACGATGATTCAGTGCCAAGTGTGGGCTGTCCGAGCTCTGCCATGGCCGCCAGCACCCAGCACCAACCTCCTTCCCCCTAGTAAAATTGCATCACATAGTAGGCAGTGGCGTATGGTGCTTGGAAAGAGCGGGGAGGGCTACTGCTGGAGTGGGCTGAAGCCCACGTTCAACAGCATAATGGGGTTGGCACTTAGGACACTCAGAGCATAAAGGTCCTTCCCACCAGAGCCTCAGCCACTGTGGTCCCCACCTCCACCCAGCTTCCAGCACGTAGATGATGAGGACCCAGCGTGTGGTGGTTTTGGGGAGTCCCACTTGAGTCTCTCTAGAGATGCACTGTCCAATACAGTAACCCCTAGCCTCATGTGGCTATTTCCATTTAAATGTGCATTAGTTAAAATTAAATACATTTAGCATTCAGTTCCCTAGTTGCATTAGCTACATTTCAAGTACTCAGTAGCCAGATGTGGCTACTGTATTTGTGAAGATTAATAAACAGAAACTTAATTTAAATGGGAATTGGGACATCTATAGGGGGAGCTCTCACACACTACCACTAATTGTCCATTACCCCAACCAGGAAGCGACTACTTTCCCTCCCCAGCTACCACTCAGCCAATGAAAAGCCACGACACTTCCAACTCCCCCTTTCCTCTATAAAAGAACAGTCCTCCCCCTTTGTTCTCAGAGACTTGAGCCTGTGGTTCACCACTAGACCACATGTCCTGAAGTGTAATTTTTTGTTGTTCCCGAATAAACCCATTTTGCTGGAGAAATATCTGGCTGTCTATTGGTTCAAGGTCAACATATTGGATAATTCAGACATAGAACACTTCCGTCCTCACAAAATTCTATAGGATGGTAATATCTAGAGACCACACCCAAACCCAGGCCACGGATGGCAACCTTGCCCTAAGCCTGGATCTTTCCAGCGTTTGCCCAGCAGCCTCTGGTTGGGGCCCTGCCTCTCCCCAGAGAGACAGTCCTGGACAACCCTGCCATCTACACAGCTCTCCTGCCACACTCTCTTCACTTAGAGACCTTTTCATTCAGCAGTTAATCATTGGGCGTCTCCTATGTGCCAAAAAACTAAGGTAGGGCTATGGTGATAAGCCAAACAGGGTTCCTGACCTAAGGATGCTTGTGCTTTAGAGGGAGGAGACAACACACAACAACGTTTGGATAATTCAAAAAATAAAATAAAATGGTAATAAGTTATGAAGTACCTGGGGGTTATTCAGTTGGGAGGTCAGGGGAGCCTTGTCTGAGGAGGGGACCTTTAATCTGGTTTCTTAATTGGGAGAAGATAGGGACTGCGCATTCCAGGCAGAGGGAACACCGAGAGAAGAGCTCCAGGGATGAGAATGAGGGGATGAGCTTGGCAAGTTCCGAGAACAGCTGCTGCGGCCGGAGCTGAGCGGGTGAGAGGAAGGGGAAATGACGTTAGAAAAGGAGGCAGAACCAGTTGGTGTGGGATGTTGGAGGTGGCAGTCAAGAGGCTGGTTAACTGTATTCTTAGTGTACTGGGTGGGTTTCCAGCAAGGAACTGACACCATCTCGTGTAAGAATACACGCCGATTATCGAACTGGAATTTTTCACCTCCCTGGAAACATTGGCCTCTGGATTTGTGACCTCTCACTGCCAAGTCCTTGGCCTCCAGGTTTCTGCTCCGCGGTGGAACACACTCTGCTATGGCCACGTGACATGCAGCAGAACAGCAGGGCTACGTCAGTGCCAGGACACAGGGAGGCCTCAGAGCCACCAAAGGGCCCAGAAGCATAGGAGCACAGAGCCTGAGAAAAGAGATTTTTGGGGACTTGAGCTCACATTTAAAGGAAACAGCACTCTTGCTGTATATGAGAAAGCACTGTGCATCCTGAGATTGACTAAAATAACCAGAAAGTCCAGTCTAACGCCAGTCCCCTAAGTCAATGAAGCTTTCCCTGGAAGTTGTTAATGCCCTAATGAAACACTGCTATTGGCTGCAGCAACACCGATTACAGATATGTGTTGCTCTTTGCAGAGAATGGGAGAAGGACTGGTTTTGTTCCACTGTGAAGAAATTACTATACTTTCGGGAACTATTTTGTTGTGTTCTGTGCTCTTTATTTGGATAGCCAGGTGTTCTCCCTGGCTATCTCCCTTGCAGAGTTTTGTTTTTGTTTTACAGCGTTAGTTCTCTTTCACAAAGTTTCTCCTATCTTTTGAGGTAGGAGGAGTCTTACAGAGTAAACAATTTGCCTCTGTCTGCACTTTTGAACTCCGTACATGTCTTCACTTGTACTTTTCACGTTCCATAATCACTGTCCTGTTTACATAATCATTGTCCTGTTTACTTATCTGCCTCCGCTACTGTCCTGAAGGTGTTTCAAGGGCAGGATCTAATTTCGCTCCGCACCCTCAGTGTTTAGCCCAGGTCCCCCACACACATTAGCAAACAGTAATATTTGTAATGACTAACCTTTGGCTGCCCTAACGAGGCTAAACGCATTTGGACGGCACTGGGGGGTTGAATTATGCCCTCCCCACCAGACGTGTCAAAGTCCTTATCCACTGCGCCTACAACCTCATTTGGAAGTAGGGTCTTTGCAGAAGAGACAGAGAAATGCAGGAAAAGGCCATGTGACCACAGAGGCAGAGATTGGCGTTATATGGCCACAAGCCAGAGAAAGCTAATGGTTGATGACAACTGCCAGTAGCAGGGAGGCAAGGAACATTCTCCCTCCGAGCCTTCAGAACTGTGAGAGAATAACTTTCTGCTGTCTTAAGCCACCAGTTGGTGGTAATGTATGGAAGCCCTAGGAAACTCACACAGCCAGCACGGAAGTCAACTATATCATCAAAGACTGAAAGGAAGTGAGCAGGTGTGTCTCTGAGGCTCTATCACTCATTTATCTTATACTGAATTCCAGACATTTAGTCTATGTTCTTCTCTCTTAGAAATCACAGATTTGAGTTGGTTTTCATTTCTCTTCGATGCTGACAGAGACCCTCTAGGGAATGGCAAAATCCCAACTGAGGACTAACGTCCAAAAAAAAAAAAAGACTTATCTTTGAGGTTTTTGGAACATCACTAGATTCTGCAGACAGTGCTGGTGATGTTGGCCTAAACTGGCAGTGCCCACCCTTCCCTGTTCCTCTTGGGGGCACGCAGGTGACAGCGCACGTCACCTGTCCTGAGAAGCACCCAGGGCTGTACGCCCACGCGGGAACGACCCACTGTAACTCTGCCACACGAGAAAACACACCAGAACGAAAAGGGAGACGAGCGAGCTGCCGTAAGAGGCGTAATCTTGAACATTCCCGAACGTGGTCTCCTGGACTTGGATCCATCATCAGTACTGGAGACAATCAGAGGTCGGAACCGGGATGATCTTCATGATCCCCATAAATACGCCACCTCCAGAATTCTCCAAAACTCAGCTCGGATCACGTTACTGTGAGGCCCCAACGCGCCTGGGACGGATCCCCAGAGAGTCAAGCACAGGTACAATTCCGCAGTGGAACCCTGCCAGCGAATCAAAGCAGAGAACGCCTGGTTGCCCTTCCTCGCCCTCTCATTTCCGGTCCCAGCGCCCCGCCCCCATTACGCAAACACGCCGCGCCGCCTCTGCGTCATCGCCGCGCGCCGCTGTCAGGCTCTCGGCGCAGGGGGACCATGGCGGAGGTGGGCAGGGCTGCCGTGTGCGACCCCGGGGCGCTGCTCCCGGGCGGCTTCTGGGCGGCGGTGGCCGTGTGGCTGGAGAGGCCGCAGGTGGCCAACAAGCGGCTGTGTGGCGTCCGCCTGGAGAGCCGGCGGAGCGCCGTCCTGCCCCGGACCGAGGCCCGCGGCCCCAGGTCGAGCGCAGGCCCCGAGCAGGAGGAGCGGGCCGCGGCGGGATGCGGGCCCGAGGAGGGACCGGGACCCGGGCAGCGTTCCCCCGAGGGAGGCCCAGGCCCCAGGCCGAACGCAGACCTCGAGCAGCCCCAGGGCCGGCGCCAGGAAGCGGAAGAGAGGCGGGAAGCAGCCGCAGCGCCTCTGCGCGCAGGGTCCCCCGGGCAGCCCGGCAGGGCCGGAGTCGGGGAGGGCGACTTCCCAGCCTCGGACCTGGATTCTCTCTGGGATGATTTCTCCCGAAGCCTTGTCGGCGACGATCAAGATATGCTGGCCTTCCTGACAGGCTCCGGGGCGGGATCGCAGCCGGGGGCGCCGCGCGAGCTCGACGTGGTGCTCAGAACCGTCATCCCCAAGGGGAGCCCACATTGCCCTCTTTCTGCTCCAAAGAGAGAAATAGCCCTGCAAGGTAAGGGTATTGCTAATAGTGGGAGGTGTTCAAGACAGATAAAGCCGGGTCCCGGTTAAAGTGGCAAGGGTCGATTTTAGTCATGCGCTGTTGCCTTAGGGACAAGAGTGCAGCGTGAACTGAGCTCTTCCATTTGTGCAGAGGCGGCTGGGCCTTTTAAAGGGAGAGTGAGGGGAGTGTGTGTGTGTGTGTGTGTCCCTCAGGGAGGGAAAAATTAAAACGGAGTAAAGGTCCATGTGAAACCCGTCTGGGTTTGCTAACTGGCGTTTGTTGAAGTTAGACGCCTCCTCTCCCACCCAGGCCAGGAGGTGCCCCATCTTCAGGTGTGGGCTGGAAGAGTCCATTCTTTTGAAAGCAGCCTTGAACTTTCTCAAGCAGTCACTTTAGGACCATCCTCAGGGTGTGGCCTTGAGCTGTTGGAGACCATGTTACTGTTTATTGACCAGTGTCGATACCTAATGGAGAAAGAAAGGGCTCGGAGGAGCCTGGCTTGACTTTGGCAGAGAAAAGAATCTTTGGCAGAGAGGACGCAGTTAGATTAAGAAGCATTACTGGGGCCGGCCGGGTGGCGCGATGGTTAAGAGCTGGCTTGGGACACCAGAGGACCCCGGTTCGGATCCCACACATGAGGGCCAGTGACACTGCCCTCCACAGCTAAGATGCTGAACAACAGCTCAACATGGAGCTGGGCTGCTGTGCGTTGCCAGTGACAGCATAGGCTTCAGTCCCTGCGGCAGTGGGTTGCCATGGGCTACCGTGTGTAGCCAGCAGCCAGCATGAGCGGCCAGCAGCCGCAGTGAGCGGCCGTCCAGAAGCCGGCGACTGATCTGCCTCGCCCGGGAAGAGCGCAATGACGGTGCCAACTTGGGCCAGTGAAGCAACGTCCTCCACAACTAGACTGAAGAACAAAAGGACAGCAACTTGTCTGTTCCCCTTCCCCCAATTCCCAACACTGTTCCCTCCCAATTCCCCAATAAAAATCTTTAAAAAAAAAAAAAAAAAAAGAAGCATTACTGAACCTGCATATTCCAGAGTACTCTCCCTCTTCTAAGGTCTGTAACCGTAACCACTTCTGCCAAGTCCCTTTCTGCCATGAGACATAGTATAGTCACAGGTTTGGATATTAGGGCATGGACACCTTCGGGAGGCTAGACTGTCTACACAAGCAGCGATCATAGATTGCTGGTAGGTGCATGCCCCCCCCCTCTCAGCACTGCCTGCCTCTGTGCCCCTGTAAGACTCTTCCAGGCCCCCCTCCTCCAGGAGGCCCTCTCTGACCCTGCTGTGCCCAGCTTTTACCAACTGTGTTCTGATCACCTTTCACATTTCACCTCTGCTAGACAGAGTTAGTGAATCAGTGCCCAAAAGGCCTTCAGATATAAACTCCTGTGTCCTCAGATTGGCCTCATGGAGGAGGAGAGGCAGAGTTAGACTTCTCTTTCTCTTAGTGAGGCGGTGCTCGGTCAGCCAGGGGTGTCCTTCGTACGACCGTCCTGCTGAGCATGTCTACCGAGTGCCCGGCACAGTGTTGGCTTGGGGCGCAGCAGTGAACAGGACATAAGAGCCTGTCTGACCTCCTGGGCACTGGTGTAAATGGGGGGAGGGATGGGGGGGCCCCTGGGTGATTGAAGGCACAGCACCTGAGTCGTTTCTTTTTTTTTTTTTAAGATTTTTATTGGGGAATTGGGGGGATGGGAACAACGTTGGGGAAGGGGAACAGAGAAGTTGCTGTCCTTTTGTTCTTCAGTCTGGTTGTGGAGGACGTTGCTTCACTGGCCCAAGCTGGCACCATCATTGCGCTCTTCCCGGGTGAGGCAGATCAGTCGCCAGTTTCTGGATGGCCACTCACTGCGGCTGCTGGCCGCTCACGCTGGCTGCTGGCTACACACTGTAGCCCATGGCAACCCACTGCAGCAGGGGCTGCAGCCTACACTGTCACCGGCGACTCATGGCAGCCCAGCTCCAGGTTGAGCTGTTGTTCAGCATCTTAGCTGTGGAGGGCAGCGTCACTGGCCCTCATATGTGGGATCCAAACCGGGGCCCTCTGGCCTCCCAAGCCAGTTCTTAACCAATGCACCACTCGGCCGGCACAGTCGTTTCTATTTTTAATACTGCCTCTGATAAGACACTGACCTAAGCAGCTTTAACTTATCATCCTTATGTTTTTTTCCCCCAGATGTCCTCAATGGAACTGTAACTTTTTTACCTTTGGAAGATGACGAAGGGAATTTAAAGGTTAAGAGGAGCAATGTGTATCAAATTCAGCTCAGTCACATCAAAGAAGAATGGTGAGTAGGTAACTGATTCCTCTTTCAATGCATTATGGTACCAATTAATGATTTCTTTAGGTGGCTGTACGGTTCTGGGCCACTGAAGATCTAAAGCAGCGGTTCTCAACCTGTCGCCTAAGACCATCGGAAAACAAAAAGATATTTACNTGTAGTCTCGTGGGCTTGTGTCTGAATTATTCTGGGCCAGAGTGAATTACAAACTGACTTTGTTTTCTTCTGTTCTCTTAGGTTTTATGGGAAGAAGAGAGAGCCGAGCGGGGAGTGACAGCTAAGCAGTCCTTTGTGGACTTAGGGTGTGGAAACGGCCTCCTGGTGCACGTGCTGAGCAGTGAGGGGGTAAAGCAGGGTCACGGCCCTTTCTAGCACCTTTTCTAGAGTGTCCTTGAGTCCAGCACAAGATTCGCTGAGATCTTTTTCCACTGGTACGACCTGGGTTCAGAGTCAGCCTGGCAACTGGAATATGGTGACTGGTTGTAGACTCTGTTGCTCTGCAGAGCAGGCAGCTTGTAAAACGAGGGAGACAGCAGTCTCATTAGATGGTAGGGCTTCTCAGAGACATGCCATGTGCACCTAGAACACCAGACTTCAACAGCATGCACATCCAGCCTTTGGAAAACCCACCGTTTCAAGGCACTAGCGGGGAATAAATGGTAAGGTGGGATGTGCCTTCGAGAAGCGTAAGTGCTAGTTCAAAGGGCAGTCAGGTGCACACATACCGCAGCGTAAAACTGGTACTAGCGTTTGCAGCCATTTTCTGGATCGGTGACGTGAAGCCAGCGAGAGCTGAGAACAGCGCTTGGCACTCGAGCAGTGCAGTCAGGGTGGGGCAGCAGTGCCCAGCCCCCAGCTTCCCGCCATCGTCTCAGCCTTCCCGGAGAACCCTGTGTGTTGGACACAGTTCCCTCTTCACCTGGCTGAGCGAACTAGGGCTCAGCAGCTTCACACTCGAGGGTGGCAGCTCGGATTTGAAGCCCAGGGCTGGCTGTCTTCCGACTGGAGCATTCTGTCTGTGGCACAGACGTACTTGTCCTCACTGGGAATTGGAGTGGACTTGTCCCAATGGACTTTTTGAATTGCTTCATAAAAGAATGAGTTTGTCATACCTGTACACAGGTTGTCTGTGGGTTAGCACATCAAATGGTGACACGGACGCTGATTGGGCAGAGACGATGGGGATGGGGCGTGGTGAGAGCTAACGAGGGAGGTCATGGTGTCCTGGGTGAGAAGCGACCTAGAGGATGGGGCTTGTCGGCTGGCGAGCTGGGAGAGGAGCTGTGCCCGAGCTCTGAACCTGACTGAGAGCCGAGGGAGCCAGCTCCCTTTCCAGGCGTGTTTCCTGGGGCTGCGGCCCTGGAGACGCTCCTACAGCTGGACTCCAGTTCCCCTTAATGAAGATGCCTAACGACTGTTGGGGGGGGTGTGGGGCAGGTCTTGTCTGGGCCTTGCGGGCGGGGCGCACAGAGTGTCTGTTTGAAATGGCTGAGAAGCTGGGCCGATGCCGTCCATTCTTGCGAAGGGCCTCTTGTACGTCCCACTGCTGGTGATACCCACAGAGTTTAATTTGTTCTTGCTACTTGATGATGATGTACTGAACTTAACCTTCAGTTTCTGAAATTATTTCAGCACCCAGGCCGAGGGATTGATGTCCGAAGAAGGAAGATCTGGGACATGTACGGGCCACAGACTCGCCTAGAGGTGCTGGCTGTTCATTCACTCGATCCCCGCGTGCTTATTCCCTGGTGACAGTGGTTTTAACAAGTGCGTTTCTGTGTAGGCCGGTCAGAAATGCTGATGTAACAATTCACGGTAACCCGAGTAATCTGAAATTTAGAAGAAGGGTGAACCTTTAGACTTTTCATAGCCTCCCTGTTAAATGGAAGAGAGGGAGCTGAGCTCGGGACCCAGAAGAGCTGTCTCCTCTCGTGGGCCTGCCGCGGTGGTGGCATCTTCTGTGCTGCTTTGGGGCAGAGGGCAAGTTGGCGAGGGAGGTGGGCAGAGGAGGGTGAAACGGGGCTGGGCCGCAGGCGTGCACACACTGTGGAGTCGGGCCCGGGGAGCTGCTGAGACGCGCAGCACGTTTGTTCTGAGCCGTCTATAGCCTGGTTTCAGCCCAGGACCGTGGACCCAGGCCACTCCAGCCTCGGTTCAGAGCGGCTTGTCCTGGTACCCATCAGAGAGGAATGTGACCGTAAGGGAGGAAGTGATCGGTCACCTCAGCAGCACTCCTGCGGCAGGTCTGGTGTCAGGTGTTTGCAGGTTGGTCTCTAGNCAGTAGCAAAATTACAGTTATAGAGTAGCAACGAAAATAATTTTATGGTTGGGGGTCACCACAACCTGAGGAACTGTATTAAGGGGTCGCAGCATTAGGAAGGTTGAGAACCGCTGATCTAAAGGGACTGTCGGGCAGTTAGGGTTTGTGGAAGGTGCCTTCTGGTTAGAATTGCCAGGACATGCCTTTGTTGTTGCTGGTGCCTGGCCTGTGTCCTGGCCACAGCCCGGCTGGAGTCTGGAGTCTGCTTTTCATGTTGCCTTGATGGTCAGCAGCACCTCGTTTTAGCACTGAATTCAGATGAACTTAAGTCCCTTTGTTATTTTGCTGTTTCTCACAACTTGGTGATGGAGTAATTGGAACATTGTCATTTATAGTTCCTCCTTCTGGTGGGCTTCATAGGATGTGTGAAGCTTTCTTAACAATGTTTGCAAGAGAAGAGGAAGTCTTTCTGCTTTTTAAATGTGTTTTTCTCTATTAGATGAAAACTCTGTAACGAATCCTAGAGTGTTTTGTATTTTTGGTAAACTTTTGTAATTCTAGCTGTCTTAACTTCTCTCTTCTTTTGGTAGATAAGTGTGTAATTTAAAAATAAGAATGAAAACCAGCTCTTATTCGTATGTTTTTCTTATTTTTAAAGGTTCATATCTGTTTTAATTTTCTGTCCAGAAAGATGGCATTCAGATGGAATTGTCTACCCGAAACTCACCTGGCTCGGAGGAGAGCTGCTGGCCAAGCTGGCCAAGTGGTCTGTGGAGAGCAGGCCGAGTGGCTTTAAAAGCACCCTGTCCCTCATTTCCATTGCGAAGTACAGCAAGGTCCACCAGGAGCTGAAAGAGAAGTACAAGGACATGGTCAAGGTAATGCTGGGGGAAGCACCTGTGACCCTCCATTTAAATGAAGCATGTGACCACACTGTGCCAGGTTAAATGGCTTTTCCTGTGTCCCCTGTAGTTATATGCAGGCTTCACAAGAACAAAAGGGAAATATTTAATTTAAAATAATTGAACATTAAATTAGTTACTAGATTACCATGATGCTTTGGTATAAACTTAAAGATATTTTAAGAAAATACATGAAAAATTAAGGTACAAAAGAATATACTTCCAAAAAGGAGATACATTTTTTATAATGTCCTTAACTTTCTAATGTAAAAAGAAGATAACAAATGTGTGTATTGACCCCCAGCTTAAGAAACAAAGCATAATGAACAGCTGGGGCTCCTTGGTAGTCTCCCTGGCTCACATCTCCGTCCTCCTAGAAGTAACACGATTTATCAGGTCCATGTGGTACGTCAGTAACCTATTGCCATGTAACGAGGCACCCCTAGAAGTCTCAGGAGCCGTAACCCTTCATCCACACTCAAGCATGTGTAGGTCCTGGGGCTGGCTAACCCAGGCGGGGCTCCCCATCTCGCCCAGACAGATCCTGGCCTAGCCGTCCTTCATTACCTTGTTAACTACTCAGTACCTTCAAGAAGTGACTTTCATGTTCTTCCAGCTTTTACAGTTGTCCTTAGTGAGGTGGCTTGTCTGAACTCTCTAGCCCGCGGTGGCAGGAAACATCTGAATGTGTATCCTTGGGCCTTGGTGTCTCCGCTTTGGCCAGATGCCAGCTGTGCATGTCACTGATTTGCATAGTGAGACGTCACACTTGCACAGCCAGTGTTTTATAGTTTTCAAACCGCCTGATGGTCATCCTGTGTGGTAGTTAAGGGTTTGTCCCTGCTTTACAGACAGGTGCACAGGGACAAAACACCAGAGTGGTAGTCCTGAGGAGTGACTGACAGACCAGAAGGCGAAGCACGGGCCTCCTGACCCCTGTCCTTTTGCTCCCCACCCCCGTCTCCTTGGTCATCATCCTCATCTAGATAAATGGCCAGGCGAGTGTTTTCCTGTGATGTCCAGTGGCCTCATCCAGGTACCTGCACTCACTGTCTTGATTGTCAAATCTTGCCTTGGACTGCATTGCTTTTGACGTGTCCTGTTACACAGATAGGATACGAGTCTATGCAAATCTCACAGGGACTCAAGTTCTGCCTTTACAAGGAGCTTTTTTTTTTTTTTTTAATTTTATTGCATTATTAGTCCAGCTTGACTTATTCCTTATGGAGATACTTTAAGTATTTAAAACGGGGGCATATGGGAGAACAACTTTCATACGCTCTTGAAAACTTTTTAGGTGTGGCCGGAAGTGACCGATCCTAAGAAGTTTGTATATGAAGATGTGGCTATTGCTGCCTACCTGCTGGTAAGAACGTGTCATCCAAGCTCTGTGGAGTGGGGGCAGGTGGCTACCGGCAATGCTGCCAGGAGTAGGCGACACCTGTCAGAGCCGTGACTCGGGTGTTCGGACCTCTGTGCCGCGGTTGGTTACACACGTGCTGGCTTTTAACTTTGCATGGCGCCCTTGCAAGAGTGTTGAACAAGTGTGAACTGTGAAATTGGACTGCAGGGATTCAAGCTGAACTGTCCTTTCGTCATTCATGGTCAGCGTGGAGGTGCTGGGTTTGGGGAACCACTGACCAGCACACGCCTTCCAGCCCAGGCTCCCCGGGCTTCTGGCTGTGGATCTTTTCTTAGCTGGCTGTCCAGACACCTCCATTTAGACATGCCTTTAACTCAGCAGTCTTGATTTTATTATCTATAAAATGTTTGGATTAGGTGTTTTTCAATTTTCTTTCACCTGCAATTCTTTGTCTTTTCTTTAAGAAATAGCATAATTTTGTTGTGATTATCAATGTATACAAAACTTGAAGAATACAGAGAAAGCAGGAAGAAACTAATAATTTCTAAAGCTCTTGCCCGGAGACGACCACTTTAATGTGGCATCTTGATGGAAGCAGAAAGCTTTGCTGCCCCACGCAGCATCAGGCAAGAGCCATGGGCCGATGCCAGCCGCCATCTGCTCTCCTGCACGTCACCTGCGCGTTACCTGCGTGTCACCTGCGCAGAAGCCCAGGGCTCAGATGAGGCCCCGCCACCCGTTCTGAGATTGTGCGGTGTAGTCTCGTGGGCTTGTGTCTGAATTATTCTGGGCCAGAGTGAATTACAAACTGACTTTGTTTTCTTCTGTTCTCTTAGGTTTTATGGGAAGAAGAGAGAGCCGAGCGGGGAGTGACAGCTAAGCAGTCCTTTGTGGACTTAGGGTGTGGAAACGGCCTCCTGGTGCACGTGCTGAGCAGTGAGGGGGTAAAGCAGGGTCACGGCCCTTTCTAGCACCTTTTCTAGAGTGTCCTTGAGTCCAGCACAAGATTCGCTGAGATCTTTTTCCACTGGTACGACCTGGGTTCAGAGTCAGCCTGGCAACTGGAATATGGTGACTGGTTGTAGACTCTGTTGCTCTGCAGAGCAGGCAGCTTGTAAAACGAGGGAGACAGCAGTCTCATTAGATGGTAGGGCTTCTCAGAGACATGCCATGTGCACCTAGAACACCAGACTTCAACAGCATGCACATCCAGCCTTTGGAAAACCCACCGTTTCAAGGCACTAGCGGGGAATAAATGGTAAGGTGGGATGTGCCTTCGAGAAGCGTAAGTGCTAGTTCAAAGGGCAGTCAGGTGCACACATACCGCAGCGTAAAACTGGTACTAGCGTTTGCAGCCATTTTCTGGATCGGTGACGTGAAGCCAGCGAGAGCTGAGAACAGCGCTTGGCACTCGAGCAGTGCAGTCAGGGTGGGGCATCAGTGCCCAGCCCCCAGCTTCCCGCCATCGTCTCAGCCTTCCCGGAGAACCCTGTGTGTTGGACACAGTTCCCTCTTCACCTGGCTGAGCGAACTAGGGCTCAGCAGCTTCACACTCGAGGGTGGCAGCTCGGATTTGAAGCCCAGGGCTGGCTGTCTTCCGACTGGAGCATTCTGTCTGTGGCACAGACGTACTTGTCCTCACTGGGAATTGGAGTGGACTTGTCCCAATGGACTTTTT